CAAAACAGAGAGATAGAGAGCAAAATTGATCATGTGAATTTAAAAAAAAAAAAAAGAAAAAAAGAAAAAACGAAAAAAAATCATATTTCCTCAATTTTTATTTCTGTTCATATAATTAATTTTTAACTAACATTCCATGCAATTTTATATACTAATAAACATAAAAAAATATTTTTATACACTAATACTTTTATGTACTATATGAAAAACAATTAAAATTCTTTTATCAAATGAATTTATGTAACAAGAATTATATATTGAAACCAAAAATATATATATATTCAATTTTTGTTCATATTGGACACAAATTATTATCTAAAAATAAAGTAAAAAATAATTGATTATATAAACATAAAAATAGAAACGGAGAAAGTAACTTGTATGAACTATGACATAATCTTTGTTTTAGACACAAATGTATGCAAATATTGCTCCAAAACGACCTAAACCTACCAAGAATATTACTCCTAGTAATTAGGTACATTAATACATACTATACTGTACTTACATTTCAAGTACTAGTATTAATTAATCTAATCATCAATAATGCCTGTGTCTGTTTCCGACCCTCTATGTCGTTGAATCACCAAAACAGAACTGTTGATGTTCATGTCGGAAGAGGCCAAAAGGTCACCCACCAGCCCAAGCTCCGGGCACTCCTCCCAGTCGCTCATCCCTGTCGTCAATGGACAATGGCCTCGGCCGCCTCTCCCCACGATAAACAAGTTGTACATGTCTCCGATCTCCCTCAAGACCGTCGCCGTTTGTACCCCATCGTTGACGTACTTCTCCACGTACCCAACCTTTCCGGTCGACACAAAGCTGCCCGAAAAATAAACACCAGGACTCTCAGATTCATGTTAATGTTATGTATTTATACGATACTGTTTATTAGAGAAAATAAAAGTGTGAGAATATAAATTATGTTATTTTTTTTTTAATTTAAAAATGTAAATTTTATTGGTTTTTGAATAAAGTGTTAAATTTTTATTTTTTTATTTAAATATATTAATTATATTTGTTTATTTAATTATTGATTAGATAATAATACTAATGTGATAAATAGTTTTTTAAATTATCTAATTAATTTTAAATAGAAAAAAAATAAAATTAATATCTTTAAAAAAATTAAAAATCACTATCTTTTTTAGAAATGGACAAAATTTACTTCTTTATAAGAAAAAATAACAAAATTCATATCATTATTTTTACAGAAGAAAAATGAGTATTAACCTATATTGTAATACAAAAAAGTGGATATCAACCTATATTGTAATATACAAAAATAAGTATCAGCTTGTACTATAAAAAAATAGATAAAAAAATTATTTCATA